ACTCCACCCAGAAAGGCCCCCGGCCAGAATTCGACCCGGCAACCTTCTCATTAAGAGGCAACAGCTCTACCAACTTTGCCACCGTGCCGACAGTTTTTGAGACAATTTCTTAAAGTGGAATTTAAATTGTTTTTTTAAATCCAGGTCTTTGCTGCAGCTGAAACGTTTCTTTCACAAAATTAAGAGCAAACAATCAATAAAACATCACTCATGTTGCAGCAACTCACCAACGCTCTCATCGAGCCTAAGGTTTCCATAGAAACAACACTTCTCAGCACAGTAATGAACAAGATGTTAATCATAGCTTGACAACTCCACATCATTCTCTAACTTGTATGAGGACCATGCCTTGACAATAACCTCGACTGTGTGTCAGAAGAAATAAAAGCAGCTAAGAAATAAACCAGATTAATGCAATATGAGTGCAGAAGTGTAAATAATGCAGAAGTAATAAACCTCAATTTAGGCCATGGCATAAATCATTTATTCAAGCGTCACATTAAGAATTTGTTTCACACGTCTGCTGCTCCAAGTTTTACCTGCGTGTCTCGACGGAGACAAAAGGAAAGACTGATGACTGCCTGAGTCTGTTCAAATGAGTTCAGCCTGCACGGGAAAAATAACTGCAGTCACTTCTGGAATTCCTTAGTTGAGCAAAACAAACGACCTAAATTAACGTTTAACGTGGACGTGAATGAAAAGTTCACCGTTCTGTGTTCTAAATGTCTCCGTGCTTGTTCTGTTGAGTTTCTCACATGAACGGACAGTAGATTCTGGCCCAGAGCACGAAGCGTAAATGGGACTTGTCTCTATCTCTCACGCTCATCGTGTCTGTAAACACCACTGAATCAATAAACCCCATCACTGCCAGCTTCCTGAAATGATAAGGCAACTCGAGAAAACGGGTCTGTGAGAGGAGAGGTGGTGGCAGAATGGTTTTCTATCCCAGGATGTTCAAACAAAAATACCTCTACTGGGTGATGTTTTATTGGAAGAGATGATGAAATGCATTATTCAGTAACAGCTAGATGAGGACCGATACAGTTTGAGCAGATCCATTCTGATTGGACAATAGATCTCAATCATGATTTCATTTAGATCAAATCAATCATTGGACCCTGCTGCAGGTTTCTCAGACAGTTTACATTCAGGTGGTGCTGCTGGTTGCCTGAAAGAGCTTAATAATGAGCAGTTTTCAGCCTTTGTTCTGTTAAGATGTTTCAGAGGATGAAGAAAGGTTGCAGTCAACGTAAAGGCACGCAGTACTTTAGTCTGTCCAAATGAGAAATAAATCCTATAAATGTTTAATAATATTAATTCTGAGCATGAAAGCTGCTCAGTAGAAAAAAAAACCCATAAATAATTGGTAAACACCTGCTGGGTGTAAGATGAACGACTGAAGAGGCATCCTCAGGTCCGCATTACATCAGTGAGGATGCAGATGATCAAACCTGGGCGGTGGGGAGCTGCAGCAAACATGTGGGGGCTCAGCCCCGCCTGGCAGGCGGACCGGCTACTCAGTATTCCACTCAGGTCGGCAGGAAGAGTCAAAAGCAGGAGGGTTATTGCTCTGACTGCATATGATAATGAACTGGGTGTAAATCAGCAGCAAAGACGTGTCACATGTTTTTATTCACGTTTGTGCGACACGGAAAATATGACGGGATCATTTCAAAACAACACCGCTGAACAACTGCAGGTACATTTCATTATTAATTATTGTCACGTAAAACGACAGAGGGATTTTCTGTTTTCATGCTTACATCTGTACATCCATCACAGTGCACGTGTACCGACGTGCACATTAAAGCCAGAGGAAGCTGCTCCTTATTTCAATTTGTTTGTAAGAATAACTGATTAGTTCATGAGAAAATAAAAGTGGGATTATTGCAGTGCCCTGCTCGACTGGACTCTGCTCCTTCACAGAACGTGAGCTTCATGTCAGATGTTCTTCCTCTGAAAACACAGGAACAGGAACAGGAACAGGAACAGGAACAGGAACAGGAACTGGCAGGTTTGAGCACATTACTCCAGTTCTGTCCTCCCTTCACTGGCTTCCTGTGCGTGTCAGAGTTGATTTTAAGATTCTTCTGCTGACATTCAAGTGTGTTAATGGCCTTGCACCTTCATACCTCTCTGACCTCCTTCATCCTTATACTCCTTCTCGGGCCTTGAGATCATCAGACCAGATGCTTTTGGCCGTACCAAAAACCAGCTGAAGCTCAGAGATTGGGTGTTTTCAGTCATGGGCCCTAAACTCTGGAACAATCTGCCCATCAACATTCGACAGGCCACCTCAGTCTCTATTTTTAAATCTCTCCTCAAAACACATCTGTACTCACTGACACATCTGTACTCACTGACACATCTGTACTCACTGACACATCTGTACTCATTGGCATTTAACACAGTGATCTCATTTGGTATTTCATTGTTGATGATTGTTTTCATCCATTTTGCTTTTACTCCCTGACATTTAATGCAGGGTGTATTGTATTTCATTGTTTCTCATTATATTTCATGTTTTTATGCTTTTATTCATGTTGCTGTAATATGTTGTTATTAATATTTGATGCTGTGATCTCTTTTGGTAAGCACTTTGATGACAGCTACTGTTTTAAATGTGCTATATGAATAAATGTGACTTGACTTGACTTGAAAAGTGAGTGACACGTGCAGCTAAACACAAACACAACGACCACATGAAGCTTCAGAAATGTGATCAACACATACAGAAAGTCACATTCAGGAGTGTTGAGACTGCGTCTGTAGGGGAGGGGGGCATGACTGCGCAGTGGTTAGAGGTATCGCTGTGCAGCGAGAGGGTCACAGGTTCGTCTCCCGGCTCTTCTTGGTGGAGTTTGCATGTTCTCTCCATGCATGCATGGCTTTTCTGCAGGTTCTCTCACAGATAAAAGCATGTTCATGTTGATGTTCACACAGATACATGATCAGCTGATTGGTAACTATAATGCCCCTATGTGTGAGTGTGAATGGATCGTCTCTTTGATGGACAAGTGATGGACCAGTGATGGAGCTGTGATGGACCAGTGACCTGCTGTGGCTGCTAGAGATACATACCAGGTCTACGACCTGGAAAGGAAAAGTGGGATGGATGACTCTCCTGAGGAATCATGCACAAGTGATTTAAAGTAGAGCCAGTCACAAATTAAAGGAGGAAAAAGGCTGAAGATCCCAATTGAATATGTAAATGTGTAAATATATGGAATAATATGAGGCGGGGTAACATCCTGTCTCCCTTTTTATTTAATGTGTACATGGACGATCTGTCAAACCTTTTAAATGACCGTGGAACAGGCTGTAGGGTTGGTAACGGATCATCAACCATTTCATGTATGCTGATGATTTAGTCATTTTTTGTCCTTATACTGTTGGCCTGCAAAAGCTGCTGCAGGTGTGCTCTGGTTATGGAAGAGACTTTGATACAAAATACTATTCTAAGAAAAGCAGTATCATGATTGTTCGGAGCAGAGAGGACTCCGAGTTGATGTTCCCTGATTGCTTTCTGTCGGGCAACAGTGTCAGTGATGAATGTAAATACTTGTTGCACTTTGTGACTGCAGACCTGTCAGATGATAGAGACATTTACAGACAGTGTCGCATGCTCTATGGACAAGCTAACATTCTGCTCCGTATGTTTGGACTGTGCTCAGCATCAGTTAAGGTCCAACTCTTTAAGGCCTACTGCACTCCTGTATACCGCTCACCTGTGGAGACGTTATAAAAGCAGCAGTATGTATAGACTAAATGTGGCATATAATGATGGCATGCGCCTGCTGCCGAGGGTACCTCGATGGAGCAGTGTAAGCAAAATGTTTGTAGACCCAGGTGTGCCTACCTGCCCTGCGGTGCTGCGTAACCTCATGTATAGATGCACGTGTAGGTTATCTGAATCTGAGAACTGTATCATCGCTACACTGACCAACCCTGGACTAAACTCTGTGCATTACTTTTCTACTTTATGGACTCATTGGCGTTTGAGCCTCTATAGAAAAACTTTTTAATTCTGTGTTTTTGTTGTTTTTTATGTTTTTATGTGGATCATATATTGTGGCTGAAATAAAGTAAATGATGAATAACCAGAAAGTTCCTGGAGAAAGTTTGATGGGGACTGCCATGCTGCCAGCAATGACATTTTTTTGATTTGACAGTACAATATGTTGGGGTTCACTCTCAGCTACCATCCATCCTGTGGATGGATGGATGGATGATGGATGGTTGGATGTGTTGGGCTTCGCTCTCAGCTACCACTGTACCAAATTTCAGCTCCATATGGCAAAACATCAATGAGTTATATCCAATAATGTGTTTGCTGATGTAGCTGTGGCAGCCATCTTGGATCAAAATGGCTCCAAATGTTAACTGATTATAGAGAAACATTTGATGATTAGTTTCTGTGAGTTTCAAACATCCGACAGTGACTTTCTAAGATTTCTTCATGGGCCATGTGGAAGTTTTCTGTCAGGCATTTTGTACGGCAATAATGGCGTCTTTGTTTGCAAATTCTGTCGCCATGGTAACTTGAAACGCCAATAAAGCAATAGCACACATCACGATGCCGAGTTGGTCGTTTTGATAAAATTGTGGGAGTACACGTTGCAGTTCGGGCTGCACTGAAGTTGACGGACGACTAAGATATAAATAAATGAATAAAGTTAAGAAGCCCTAACTTGTCAGGTGGATAATAGAAGGTGCCTGCCTCATACTGGCAGTCCCCAATAATGTAATAATGTGTAAATCTTACAGTGCTCAAATAAAAGTCAGTATCATCTCAAGCACTGGAGCAACAATACAAACACGGTGTTAACTGTAACTGCACATGCAAACTTTGGTCCTGTTCTTGTATATTTTGATTGATTGCCCTCATCGTTAATGTTTTGCTGAATAATATGAATAAATGTTCTGGCTGACATTGAAGAAAATCAACCTTTTTACCGCTGTCTGTTTTTGAACTCGTGGTTTCTCCTGGTGTGTTTTAGGATGCCTCGAATGCTGCATCAAATGCCTGGGTGGGATCCCGTATCCGTCCCTCATCGCCACCATCCTGCTGTATGCGGGCGTGGCCCTGTTCTGTGGCTGTGGACACGAAGCCCTGTCGGGGACCGTCACCATCCTCCAGAACTACTTTGAAGTAGTGAGGAGTCCCGTGGATGCACTGGATGTCTTCACCATGTCAGTGAAAAGAATCAAACTTTGTATTTTTACACGTTTGTTAACGGTAGAAAACGACTCTTTACTGAAATACTTTTACATATTAAAAGAAGAAAACGCAGGTGACTTGTGAATATTTGTGTACCTGTTGTTCTGTAGGATTGATATAATCAAGTACGTCATCTATGGGATTGCTTCGGCTTTCTTTGTCTACGGCATCCTGCTGATGGTGGAGGGATTCTTCACCAGTGGAGCCATTAAAGACCTGTATGGAGACTTCAAGATCACCACCTGTGGTCGCTGCGTCAGCGCTTGGGTATGGCTGCTCTTTAACGCCACAGTCACTGCTTAACTTTGAACTGTTCCTCCTCTGAATGTATTGAGCAGTCACAGCCTGAGCAGTCCTTACTTCTGTTGTTTCTAATTCCAGATTATGATAATCCTAACACCCACTTTTACACGGCACACTCCGGCTCCAAACTTAAAATATTTCAGTTTAATTTGTTTTAAACATCTAGAGGAGGGGAGACCCCGTGCCCATTTATTTGTGTTGATGGTTTTCATTTCATTTTTACACACGGATCCTGATAATCTGATGAAATATTGATAACAATATGGTCATTGATCAGTGACAAAGTGTTTCACAAACTGGTTTCCATCTTAAGGCAGGATCTCACTGGTCTGCGACTGTTGGACACTAGTTTGTGACTTGAAATACAAAAACAGACGCAGTTCCGCTCAGTGCTGAATGTTTGCAACCAAGTCCCGTGGCTGCGTTTCAAATGGCCAGTTTTTAAAAATCACAGGATATTTCTGTGTGTGCAGCTTGAAAAACTGATATTTTGGAACATGAGCAGATTTGGTTGCCCACCTCCGCCTGCCTGGACTGGATTTGGATCCAGTGCCCACATATTCATGATTAATCTGCTGGAGTCCACTTCTGAAATGAAGTCAGGCAGACTCAGAACAGCAGCTCAGTTATCACATTATATTTCATTATTATATTATTATTATCCTTCATCGTCAGCTGGGTTTGTAGAGCTGGACATTAGTCTCGGATGTTTTTTTGTCAGATGAGAGCTCAGAGTCTAAACGAGCTCCGGCACAGTTTTGGTCCAGGTCTGAGGGGATGGGGTCGACTTTCCAACATATTCAGAACTGGAGCGAGGGGGCACGTCTGCCACTCCTACATGACATTAACTACAGGTGCATCTCAAAAATTTACAGGTAAATATAGTTCAATATTTTTATCAATCGTTTCAAAAAGTGAAACTCATATTTTACAGATTAATTAAACACAGAGTGAAATATTTCAAACCTTTATTTCTTGTCATTTGGACGATTATGGCTTAAAAATAATGAAAAAACAAAACTCATTGTCTCAGAAAATGAGGATAATTAAAGGTTTGAAATATTTCACTCTGTGTGTAAGGAACCTTTGTAACATGTGAGTTACACTTTCTGAGGTGATCGATGAAAAACGGACTTTCTGCGTGATGTTCTGATTTTTTGAGAAGCACCTGTCGTCGCAGTGAAACCCTGAAGATGCTGCTCTGCTTTGACGCACAAACTGCAGGCAGAGCTGAGAACAACCTGAACATCAGGAAGTTCTTCAAATGAACACCATCTGTCAGCGCGTAAAACTTCAGCACTGTTGTTCCATTTATTTCCAAATAAGATTTATGAAATCATTGGAATGCAGAAGGTTTGTACAAACTGTGTTGTTGGACTTAAAACGCACCTGGAACGATCAGTATTAAGATTGAACTTCATAAGAGATCCTCAGTGGTAAAGTAAAGAAAAGGATCTACAGGTGAAACATAACCTTAACCCTCTGGGCGGATTAAAATAGAAACAGTTCAAACAGTTTGTCTTTTATCCAGAAGACTTCTTCATTCTGAGGAGCTGCAACAAACTCAGTCTTATAAACAGCACCTTCTTATGGTGGATCAACCAGTTTGTTGCTGACATCCAGAACCAGCTGTTCACATGATGATGGAGGACCATCAGACTAATGACAGATCGTTAGTGCTCTGACGGCCGCTTGTTATTCACAGACGGCTGAGTAATGCTAGCATTGTAAGATATATATAAATATATATATGTGTTTGTTTCTGTTTGATAAAAGTTCTGTCTGGTTTCTCTTTCAGTTCATCATGCTGACTTACATCTTCATGCTGGCCTGGCTCGGAGTGACAGCTTTCACCTCCATTCCAGTCTTTATTTATTTCAACATCTGGAATATTTGCCAAAATACAACAGTGCTTGGGGGGGCCACGCTCTGCCTGGACCCACGCCAATATGGTGAGGACGAGCGTCCATCATTTCTGCACCCTCCAGTGTTAGTGCTCTCTGTGGGACTTCTGGAGTCCTGGCCGAGCTGAACCTCTGTTTCTTTTGTGTTTTCAGTCATTTGTGCTAAAAATAAACACGTCACAGCAACAATTAGTGCACAAACTTTATTGAATTGAACAGAAGCTTTTTCAAAATGTTCAGTTTAGCGTTGATCATGAAAACAGAAGTGGACGTTTTGTTTTCAGCCTGGACTTTCTTCTAGGAATCAAATGCTTGAAAAGTTGAAGTATTGACTCTGATTGTGAACGTGAAGAACTGTAGCCGCGCTCCGAGACCGAAGAAAACAAGAATAACAAAATCAACAACTCCTCTCTTAGGTTCAAGGATGCTCCATCAAAACAGCTGCTGTTCTTATTGTTTTTACTCAGTGCCACATACTTCAGTCAGATAGCTACCTGCAGCCTTTAGCTACCTGCATCCTATAGCTACATGCAGCCTTTAGCTACCTGCATCCTATAGCTACCTGCATCCTATAGCT